AACATAGAATATGAAAATATAATTTATCAAATGAAACATTCAAATAGGTGCATAATATAAAATCCCTTATAGAAACTGCTTTTTATTTCTTTGTAGGACATGTGTCTATCTATCTCATAAGGAACCTTTCTCTACTTCCAAGGTACAAAATATTGTCCAGTTAAGAATACTAACATAAGCTATGTTTGACACAATCCAGTAAAAACATATGTACATAAAGGTACATAAAGAACTCTGTAGCAACTCTGCACAATTACTTTGAATAAAAACATCTAAACCTATATTACTAGTTTGATTTGCCATATTAAAATACTGTGATTCCTAATACTCTTTTCTGAGCATGTGTATCCGTGTTTTTTATTAAAGAAAACTAGTGGGAGTTTATGGAATTGCATACTAATAGAAGAATAGTATGTGAAGTCAAACAGCAAACACAGAGAATCAAAAATTTACAATTATCTGTATGACTTTATTTCTTTTCCATGTTGGTATCTGTTTTGCATTATTTCAAACAAGAATCCTGTTTCAAAGGACAATTGTCCTTATTGCACCAATACTGATCATTGTGTACACACATACAATGAATGTTTTGCCACAGACACCACAGAAATGGATTCCAGCCTGGAACTGCATATTCAAAGGTTCAGCTTGTGTATATTTTCCTGTCTGCAATCAAGATTCAGCTGCACAATCCACTGTTATCTCTACAGTGCCCCATTTTGATAATCTACCTTTGAATATCAATTTTCTGTTACCTGCTTACACAGCAGACCTCAGCAATTCTTTTCCTCTATTCCCATAAAATGGTTTCTTTTTGACTGTGCTCTGGTTTTTCCCTATGGCTAAAAGTTCACATTCTTTATGCCTTTCTCATTATAAACCCTCCACACTCTGTTTGAGGGTAATTGATATTAGAGCAGTTTGTCAAAAAAGTATTCAGGTCTCGCCTCTATTGAGCAAACTGTGCACACAGCCCAGAGATGTCTTTATGATTTTATTCCAACTACTATGCTCAGTTGTCCACAGGATGTGGCAGGTCTCTGCAGAAGACATTATAAGGAGGACTCAGTGATTTCAGGCATAAAGTAGGCAGAGGTAACCCCAGGCCTTGATGGCAGAGAGCTGTATGTTAGCATGGGCAATGACTGTACAGCCTTAGCACATACTGGGGCATTGGTGTGGGCTGCCTCTAACAGCATCACCTGCCTGTACCGCTGGGGAGATGTGCAGGGGACATCTTAAGTAGAGGCTGGACTTATTATATGTTTGGAGGAAAATAAAAAAATTATTTGCAAAACAGTCTTAAATTCCACTTCTACCCCTGCTTTATCTAATATAAAACATCAAAATTAAGTGTGATTTTATATTGTCTGATTTATTTATCTTACCACTAGCTACAGCTGTTGACTTGTCATCAGTCTTGTCCAAGATCTTTTTTTTGACTATATTCAACAAATTTCTTTTTGCTTCTTTCAAATGCCAGTCCTCTTGTGTCATATATAATTTGTCTCTCCTGAATCAGCCAAGTTATCAACATATCAAAAAAATCAGTCTGTTTCAAGTCATGCTTATAATTTTGCACTACTGATGATGATGACGGAGAACTGGAGACAGTGGTCTGAAGAGAGATGCATCTGACTGCAGGTGGTGCAGGTATTTAACTCCGTGTGTGTATCATTCTTTTGCAAACCACAAACATGTCTGCACATCTTAGCAATTCCATCAAGGTTCAAGATGCTTAATTGCTACCTAAAAGTCCTCTTGACAACATACTTTCTTAAATCCACGAGAAAGGGTGCTTGTATTTCCATTACATCACTGAGCAATATAACAGCATTGCACAAAGCTGCCTCAGAATGCTGGAATTAGCCATGAGCAGAGCTGGAAATTACCAAAATGGAGACATTTTTTATGGAAGAAAAAAAAAGAAAACACCAAAAAAACCCCCCCCCAAAAAAAAAAAAAAAAACACCAAACCAAGATCTGACTTCCAAAAAAGTTGAAGGCACTTCAAAGTACTCCTTAGTGACAGACTACACAAATGCAAATAGCAACTGATCATTCTTTAGCTAGATGAGCTCTTTGTGGAAGAATTATATCGTGAAGAAATTCAAAAGTCAGCCAGAATCCTCAGGAGCAACCAACAAGCAGTTGCTGACAAAATTTCCAGAGAATGATTTGAAACAGAAGATGATAAGATAAATCAAAACCTTTGTGAGTTAGTTGCATTGGAGAGCTGAAAACATTTCCAAATGAGAAACAAAGCAGCCACAAATTAGCTATCATAAATAAGTGATAAAGGTGGTGCCTTCACCACCTTTGCAATCCATCCATCTTTGGTACATTTACAGAAGTTTTCTAATTTTGCAAAGTAGACATGAAAATAGAAAAGCCATTAGCAGAAAAACAAGTCTAGTTTGTATCTAAGGTTTTCATTTCATCAGCTACCTTAGACTGTGTATCATATATCTATACTAGGAATAATAAATAAATAATAAAATAAAAATACAGTGCACAATGTTGCAGTAGCTCTACTAAACAGGGGTGCTACTAGAAAATGTCCTGAATACATGGATTTTGACCCACCAGTATCTCTGTAGGACACACTGTTGAGGATGCTTCATCTAGGACATTTCAGAAATGAGGCTATACACATCACATTGCTTAAGCAACAATAAAGTAAATACAAATACTTCATGTTACCATGCTTAACAATATCACTCTCTTATTTTTCCTACCTAGTGGAGAAAAAAAATCTGCTTTTATTGATGTCTAATTTGTACTATATAAATAATGCCTATGGAACATAGACTGCCATCCAAACTATTTTATTTCACTGCTTAAAGGTAAAAAAAATAGGCATTTATGTCACTCTTTAGGTTTTGAGCATACCCTTTAGTATGAGACTCTTGCATGAAAACCCTTTTTTTTTTTTTTACGTATCTCTATATTGAACTTTTGGCAGGATTTGTCAATGTGAATATTATTAGAAATAAAATACATATTTTTAACATTTCAGAGTGGAAGAAAATTGCTTGCAATAATATTTAAGTAATTTTAATACTGTTTTATTGGTCTCCCAATCTGGCATGTATATTTGAAAGCTATCATGTCACCTTGCTTTTAATCCTTTTTTCCCACTTTTCCAGTCTTCTTGTGTAATTAAGTTTTTTCTTAAATCTTAACTAATCTCCTTTTCAGTCTTTCAGACAAAGCTATCTTTCAGACAAGGATGAAAAAAAATCAATGTTGTTTTAGACTGAGCGTTTTGCTCAGATGACATTGTAATCAATGGTTGCCCACTTGGCACCTGTCTGTGAATTTTTTTGATACATCAGCTTTACCTTTTGGCCCATCCCTGCATGCTGAGACAGAATCTTTCTCTGCACATCCTACAGTGATGACAATGAGCTGCTGAATCTCTCCACCCCCTTCCATAACTCAAGTATTCAGTCACATTATTTTTTTTACCTAGTTTTCTAATATGCCTCTTTAATGCATTTTTCAAATTATTAACTCTTTAAATTCTGTCACATCATTAATATTTATGATGTATATAAATAATTAATACTACTTCAAATATTAAATAACATAACTCCTCAGCCTTATCAATGTAGCAGAAAATTATTATTTTACTCATAACTTTCACTGCACATTGCTGAGATGATTTCTAAATGTTAGCACACTTAGTCTTACTAGTTTTCTTAATTGCATTCAGAAAGAACTTCATCAAAACCCTTGGGAAAGTCCAAATAAATTATATCAAGCTTTTCTCCCTCATCCATTTCTTTGATGACATGTGCATAGAGTTCTGACAGACCAGAGAATGTTTTCTTTCAGCAAAGATTCCCCAGCTTCCTTTAGCAGAAATTAATCTAAACCTTTGCTCATATTTCTATTATTGATATATAACGATATATTATATATAATCATATAATATATTCAATCAATTTAGCTAAAACTGAACTCAGACTTACAGGCCAGTAGGATATTACTAGTTTGCTGGAAAAAAAAAAGTCAGAAAAAGCAAAACAATATCCAAACTTTAATATTCAAATTTTCAATGGGCAATTAAGTGCTAATAACACTTGCATCAACTCAACCTCTTCAGTTCCTTATAAGCTTTGTATGTAGCCAATCAGCCATCTGATTCTGCTTTCCTTTCAAATTTCTCTTACTATTTCCTTTATTGCCTCAACTTAATATATTAGCTTGTTTTTACTCCTTTAAAGTGCAAGATAAGTAATTGGATTTTCTGTAGGAGACTCCATACAAATAAATCTTGCAACTTCTCTGTAAGAGTTCTTTTGAAATCTGTTCTTTTAAAAACAGCAGGTCTGTTGACATTTTAATGCGTTTTTCTGATTCTGATATAATTGAAAAAATCTTTGCTATTTCTTATATCTTCAGCCATAAGGTCTTCAGACTGCTTCTTAGAATATATATTCTCCATCTTCCACTTTTCCTGTCATAATTTGTGTTCTGTTTCAATAGCTACATTTGTCTGGAATTTATCTGAAAGAGGCTACATTTGAGGTAAAATAAACTCTCAACCCTCACAGCTTTTTGCATTTCTTTTTAATATTTTTCTTAATCATCTGAGACTGATATGATGTTTTGAATCTTATTCATGCGGTAATTCAAAGGATTTCTATAATTTCATGGCCACAAAAGGAAATTCAGATATCTACTTTATTACAAGGAATTACAGTAGGAAACCCAAATATTATCACATATAGCAGAAATTTCACAACTCAATTATAAATCATCAAAATGAATAAAAGAACATTTATAAATAATTTTTTAAATTGTATTTATATGCCAACTATTTTGATTAGGAATTCCTCACTCATGTACCATTTTTGCAATTTTTACTTAGATCTGATTTACCCTTTTTTTTCAACCATATCTCTTTCTGCCACAGACAGTCATAGAAGATATGTTTTTCAACATTCTTTAAAAGATTTGTTTACAGTAATTTGATTTTATTATTTTCCTACCAGAATAAAATGATCCTAATGTTTCCTTTCTTCCAGAAAGCTCTGGCAGACTTTCCCCAGTCTGGGTAAGGTTTATCCTGAAGCATCATATCTGTGACCTATAGGGAAAGAAGAAATAGTAGATAGTTACACTGGTGCTACATAAAGCAGTACTAGCAAGGACTTGAGGAACATTTTTAAGTGTGGCTCAGCTGCGTCAGTTCTGATAATGATAACAGATAGTAGACTAATAGTGTGTCCAGTGTTATTTGCAATCAAGATAATGAATATTGGGCTACATATTCTGCCTCTAGAAGTGCATGCAGCTCCTTGAGAAACAATGAAACCTGCAGAGATCCAAAGATAAGAAGATAAGAGGAACCAATCTAAGAGTTACAGCAACCTACAGGATGCGAGTTACAATTCCCCTGTGGCTGTGAAGCTTTCTGGATCAATATGAGAGAGTAGAACCACTTCCCTGAGAGCAGCATCAACAGGATTTCCAGTCTTCCAATCAGAACTGCAGCTAGAGAGTGGAATCCTGTGAATTAAGTACCATATAACATTTATAATGTCCTCTCAGTTCCTGCTATCAGTATAAAAACACACTTTGGACTGGCAACAGAAAAAAACCCTTAAAACTTGCAAAAATTTTTAAACGTATGAAATATTTATTCTCATTTTCATAATTTCTGTCTAAAGAGACCATCTGTTTCTCTGTCCAGAGACTCATATGTATGCAGTACTTCTGGGTGGTACATGAAATTATTGAAAATGACTTTCAGCTCAGTGAGGGAGGTGAATACCCCTCAGGCACCTGCTTCTTTGGGAAGCTGTGTTTTCATATCCATTTACTTCAAATTAACGGTACAAAAAAGCACCAGAAGTTACATCACAATAAACTAATAAATTCTGTTGTGAAGAAGATCCAGGGTGGAAAACCTATCCATTTGTAAAGATTTAAGAAATAATTGATCAGATAAAGGAAATGGGGGTGACCACTTGCTTCAAAAATACAGATAAGTAAACCACTGTTAAGTTCTATCTCACTGTTATCAGTACAGAGTGAGAAATTACCATGTCTTTTGATAAAAATGATAAGAAATCTTCAGGTTCCAGAAGGAAATAACTTCAAACTGAAGACAGAATTTCACAGCTGCTTTAAAATCCAGTTTATCATCCACAGTGTAAGCTACCACTTTCGATCAATGGCATTAAGAGTGTTTATCAAAAAGAACATGTGGCCAATGAGTAAATTAAAAATGGATTCAACTGCTAAATTTTGGCTTCAAGTCCATTTGGGGTTAAAAGTGCTCAGTGTATTAGTCTGGGCTGGGTCCAAAGGATATTGACTCTGTTAAATAAATAGAAATGCACATTCTAGAATTTTATTATTCAAAACCTAACCTTAACAAAGAACAGATAATATCCAAAAATACCACCTTTAATAACTGTTAATGTGGGTAAATCTTTTCTCTGATCACCAAACTATAATACTTTTTTTATAAGATCTCAATTATCTAAATAAATATTTAAATAAATATTTTATTCTGAACAAGACTTCTGCAAAGATTTAGTTCACTACTTTAGTAACACTTTTTTTTTCCTCTACATAGTAATGAGTCTACATAGTAATGAATATTTGCAAAGAAGAACAGCTATTTCAAGAGGCTTTATTCAAGTTTCAAAATAGTTTCTCCAGATGCTTTCTGAGAAATTATTATATTTGGGAGAAAGATGCAATTTGCAGCTCTATGACCAATTACCAAAGAAGCATGTTTCATAAGAATGACATTCGAGACAGAGGTATTTTCTGAGCAAAATGGCAAGATGAGGCAGGAAATGTTCTTTGTGATATCAAATAGCTGGTCTTTCTTCTCCCAACTTTGGAATTTATTTAAAGTCATATCACCAGATCAATGTCAGGTCAGTTGCAGCTAAATTGGCTAAAGCAGAGACAGTCATTAAAGGGATGCATTCCATAAAGAGAAATCCAATTACCTTTTGCATTAGAGAAATCAAATGCATTTTCTGATTCGGTCAAGGACAGTCACTGTAGAAAACAGCTCACAGGAGAAAAGCACTCAACACTGTCATACAGCAGATAAGTTTTAGACATATATCAAATACCCATTGTTTTTAGAAAAAAGAAAAAATATAAATTTTAATTTAATTTGCAGAATTTCATGTAACGAAATGTGTGTATTTTTCTACCTCTATTTGTATTTCGCAATGTAATTCCTGGACGGCATACATTTATTTCTGCTTTACTGGACTATGTTTGAAAACACTGATGATACATGGGAATAGAAAAAAATTGGATGCTTTAGTAAATGTCTTTCTGCATTTTGCATAATCAAAATAAAACAGGGAAAACCACTTACAATGTAATTAAGTAATGTATTTTTTTCTTGAACTAGGAGATGCAATATACTTTAATCAATAATTGCACTGCTTCAATTCAAGAAGGAATGGCCCCAACATACAGACAGTGTATACATTTTCATTTTATTTAGTGTCTCATGAGAGAAACAGTTACACTATACTAAATTGTAGAAGCAAAGTGGTATCACACACACTGCCTGACTTTATAAGTTACACAAATGCCACAAAAACCACCATTCCCATTAATAATTACTATGTTTTATATATATTACAGCATCTAAATTTTCATTTTACCCTATAAATTATGACTTCATGTCATATTGCTTTATATTAATTATGAGGCTACCTCAATAATGGTTTAAAAAATATATATTGCTGTCATTAATAGCAAAATGTTATTATTCCAATTTTTCTGTTACAGAAAAAGGAAATTGTTCCTTTTGATGTTTGGTACAATCATCAAACCACAGAAAGCCCCGGGTTGAAAGGGACCTTACAGATCCTCTAGTTCCGACCCCATCCTGCCATGGGCAGGGACACCTTGTTCAGAGCTCCATCCAACCTGGCCTACAATAGATATTACTGTACAATATATAATAATTTGAACAATTATATTGTATCAAACAGAAGAAAGAATCTGGGATTCAAAGTCATTCAGAGCAAATAACTTACTCAGAAAAGCAATGCAAAAAGCAAAATCATAAAAAACTTCAAAAAAAACCCCAACAAAAGAGTAAGATACCTAAGATACTTGAGATGTACCAAGTGAAGCAGTAAGACACCTTAAGGATAATTTATTCCTTCCATGCAGTTACTCTTTGAGCCTATTGTTCAGGATACTCTGCACATACTCTACATCTCTCTGCAGCCACTCATGTCAAATGATGCTGTGTTGTACCTCACAGGGTCCTTCCCAGCAGAGACAACCTTTGCACCGGGAGTGTTAGCTAAGCAAAGTATTTCTTCTAAGTTATCAGTTATCTAAGTTATTCATACTAGGAAAAATTATCAAAACAGGGTAAGAGCAGCTCTCCAGAATTCAACAGTAGGTAGAAGAATCAAAGATCCACAAGAAGAGCCTGAAAACACAAACCGAATGGTGAAATACAAATATTTTTTTTTTATTATTATTTTGATAATGCAATGAGTAGCAAAAAGTCTAATGGACAGTAGGACTCTAACATAAAATATCAGTAAAGAACCGTTTGTGTGCAACTACTCAGCCAGAAGGACATGACATCATGGTGTTATTATTGGAAAACAAAGTACCCGGGATAACTGTATTTGCCAAAATATACCTATCTACCACTGTCAAATACATGATTCAAGTATTATAAGTTTGGGTTTTTTTTCAATTTTTAGAATTTTACAATTTTAAATAATTTAAATCATAAACCTATTTGTAAGTAGCACTATATTAATTTCACTTGACACTCAGCCTTTAAACGGTGCATAACTTACACATCTCCACTTACCCCAAACTCAAAACAAGAAACATTATTTTCAGTCCTGCAACTGGGGCCTTTCATTGTCAAGAGTGAATATCATAAATTCTAGAATCTTCTAGAAACTGTAAGGATGCCATAGTGACAGGACAGGCCAGAGGTCAGTTTCCCATGGCAAGACTATGAATATTGCATTCCTCATCAAAAGAATACATCGATAGTTTTGCAAAGACTGAACATTGCCTGTGTGTTTCTGAAAAGTATGTGAGTTTTTTTCTAGAAAAAAACAGGGGCTAAATCAGGTTAAAGTAATTATGTTTTCTGAAGTCAAAGTGTGAAGTCAATGAGAGCTAATGCATACCGCTGAGGGGATACACTTCCCTTGCTTTGCTGTTATGTGCTTTTAGGTAAGAGCTATATATAGGTGTCCCACTAACTGCACATCAATTCTTTATCATTTCTCAATCTTTAAGTACTGTACTACATCACAGTGATCATATACCAAACATTCAGTACGCAGTCATTTAAAAGTTTCTATCCATCACTTTTCTCTTCTTTGAGATATATAAAAATGTGTAGCTGTTCGTTTGATGTATAAAGTAACCTATAGGGAAAATGTTTTTATGCTTTTTTCGTCTGGATTTCTGGGAGAAAATTGTCTTCTGCGGGTGGTGACCAATCTGATACTCCTCTATGATGGCATGACAGGATGGGTCAATGAGGGGAGGATAGTTGATGTTGTCTGTCTCAACTCCAGCAAGGTTTTTGACTCTTTTTCCCATAATAACATCATGGATAAGCTCAGAAACTGTGGGTCAGATGAATGGACCGTGAGGTGGATCAAGAACTGGCTGAATGGCAGAACTCAGAGGGCTGTGGTCGGCCAAGTAGAATCCAGTTGGAAGCCTGTAGTCAGTGGTGTTCCCCAGGGATCAATACTGGGACCAGTCTTTTTTATCAGCAGCGTGAACAAAGGGATAGAATGTACCCTCAGCAAGTTTGCAGATGATGTAAAACTGTGGGAAGTGGTTGATATACCTGAAGGCTCTGCTGCCATTCAGTGGGACCTTCGTAGGCTGGAGAGTTGGGCAGAAAGAAACCTAATTATGTTGGTTCATAGATGTGAAATCAGGATCCTGTACCTGGGGAAGAATACCTCCAAGTGCCAGCACAGGCTGGAGCTGACCTCCTGGGAGCGGCTCTGTGGAAAAGGAGCTGCTTGGGGAACCTGGAGGGTGGAAGCTGAGTATGAGCCAGCACTGTCCTTGTGGCCACGAGGGCCATGGTAC